CTTAGTGGCTGTAGAAAATTGATCAAGAAAAATTCAATTTTTTTTTCAAATAACTTTTATTTGCCCAAGTACATTTTAATCTCACCTGATTTGGTTTGGTTGTTTCCCGTATTCGAGGCGTCACGTGTTGGCTTTCGATAATTTTTCATTTTTTCTCCACAATTACAATCTAAAACCTTCTGCTTTTTCAAAGCATTAAATATAAAAAAATATCCTCTGAAACTGACATGAAAAGGAAATAAATGAAAATCCATATATTACTGATGCGGTAAAATTGATTTGTGTCCGTGTTGCAAAATCAATGGAATATTTAATTATTTGAAGTCGTGACTGATAAATATCAGTGTAATCCAGTCTTCTAGGGCAGCTAACCAGATTCCTTTGCGGACGCCTGCTCAGGCATATTCTGTTATTTGTTCAGCACTCATAGAGCCAGACTCTGGTTTATACTGCAACTATGCCGAACAGTTTCTGAGAGGGGGATAATCTGTTGTGATCAATAGTTTGTTAAAACTCTTGCACGAGAATCTCCCAGCAATTCACTCACAATGATTTCCTTAACCCAGGGTATGGTTTTCAGCCGCTTTCAAACCCTGCCGAGTAAATCAGTCATTGAGACCGAAGAGTTAAATTTATGGGCAGAAAGCGAACGTTCTAACCACTCGTCCACGGGCATATATATATATATATATATATATATATATATGTGTGTGTGTGTGTGTGTGTGCGTGTGTGTGTGAGTTATCTCACGCGCGCGTATATACACATACCAAACGCGTCGGCTAAAATTACAGTTTTCCTATTGTCTTTTTTTCCCGTTATATATATGTCTTTTTCTACAGGTTAATTCTGATAAACTTTTGCATGTATGTATGTATATATGCATAGAGGGCCTGAAAGTTGGGTTCAAGCATAAAACAATCTGTGTCAGTTGATGTTGACCTCTGTGTCCGCTTTTATATTGATATGCGCGGTATCTTTGATATTTTTACCCATAAACACAGTATACCTTAAAATTCATATTTTTATCATGTGTATATATATATATATATATATATATATATATATATATATATATATATATATATATATATATACATAATTATTCACAAAAACTAATGCAAAGGTTAATGATTTAAATGGCGAGACATCCATCATTAACCTTTGCATTAGTTTTGTGTGAATAATTCATTTATAAATTGATTGCACGTTTATTGTAATATATATATATATATATATTTTATATATATATATAATACTTTAATTACATATATATACTTCACGTATATATATATATATATATATATATATATATATATATATATATATATATATATATATATATATATAAATATGAAAGTGAACATAGAAGTCAAGATTTAGAGGCGACAGTCTGTTTCATGAAAATAACAGCATATGTGGCCTGACGATTGCATATAGCATGAAACAGACTGTCGCCTCTAAGTGTTGACTTCTATGTTCACATTTATATTTACACACGCTCTATCTCTGATATTGAGCACTTTATCCCATAAATATAGCACGCCTTAAGACTATATTTCTTTATATATATATATATATATATTAAAGACATTTTTATGTTTAATGTTATTTTTTATAGATACAAGTATTTAAGTAAATACTCTGTTTATAATAAACAGTATTAAATAACATTTACCGGCCTGAATGTCCGAGAAATTTTCATAGAAAATATTCATCCTTTGAACGTTAAACATAAAAATGTCTTTAATAAATAAATTGTCGGACTTTGTCCATTTCTTAATATATATATATATATATATATATATATATACACATTTTTAAAAATTCAAACTTTGTCAAAAAATAATAATAATTGCTAAAAAAAGGATTAATTAAGAAAGTGCCCAATACAATTTTAAAGAAACGAAAACTGTAGGACAATTTAAGATATATAAAAAAATTGGAAACACTCCAAGAGACTCACTGCCTCATACTGTACTTGTAGAAACCGTGCAATCACACACACATACATATATATATATTTATATATATATCAGGTAGAGTTTATTGTTGTTTCAACAAGAGAAAAGTGTATATTTTAAAGAGCGATAAAACATTTTCGCCCAGTCCAAGATGTATTCAGATGACTACTACCGCAGACAAAAGAAGATGGTTAAAATATTTAACATAGAGAGAAAAATAATTCCTTTAAATAATATGTGGAAATAACTATTCTTCTCCTAATGAAGGTCACAAGTCCTGTAACCCGTGTAGCAAAAGATATAAAATAAAGTATATCATAAAGATCTACATTTAATCAAAAACGACGCCTTGTACCATTTTACCCTTTAATTGATACTCTCATGTTTTAATTATAGACGATTTTAATGAGTATTCCATGACGCCATGATTTCATTAGATATGAGTTTAATATGATTTTTTCATCATAGACAACTAACTTCTTATTGCGAGCTACACTAAATCGAAAGTCTTTTTTCTTCTATCATACACTGGCTGATTAATTTTCTGGTATTATTCTTACAGTCAGATAAAATTCTAAAGGACAAAAAGCATCTCATGAAATCTTTATCCACTTTGTTATTTTCAAATTCTTAATTATTTTGATTTACTGAATCCTATTTTAAATAAGTTTAATCTATAGTGATAGATTCGGAAAACGATGTACACAAGAGTTCACATTTAAGATAAAACTGATAAAAATGGAATCTTTTTCATTTAGTTCAAACGTAAAATCCACAAATGTGTTTTATTTCTTATAGATTAAAAATTGTTTTCGAGTCAATATTGGTCCCTATCAATTTTATTGAGATGAAAAAAGATATTTACTTTGCTCATCTCATCTAAGGAACTGACAAACGATAAGGATTAAACTCCTGATAGTTTTAAAGAGGGTGATACTTTATATTTGCCAAGTGTGATCAAATTTGACACAAGGCTAAAATAAAAGCGGTAATCCTAATGAATTATATGGTAATTATTACTAAACGACAAGTAATCAAATGAAATGTAAGACTCTATTGAATGTTGATTGTGAGATACATTGAAAGGCTCCCTGCTGGATAAATTATTTGCGAATTTTATACTAGTAATGGAAATCGATATCCGATCCCATATATAAACTTAACTCTTCGAATGATGAATTTTAAGACAGTTTAGAATTTCCCACGTCGATCTTTGATGCAACATAATGTTCGCTAAGTTATTTGCTCGATTCAGTCTTGTTTCATATATTCGCTTTCAATATAAAGTATTTGCTAAAGAAAATATTATAAAACATATGTTTATTATTTACTGGACCTGTTCTAATCCTAGTGTGTTTAAGGCCGATCCATTCTTCAGCTTTCTCTTAAAGATTCGTCAGATGAATGACATTTTTACGACCAGCGACGAAAATATTAATCAATTTGTGTTAATGACCATGAAGGTTTATTTCAGAAATTCAAACAATAGATGAGTAAACTTTTCCCATTTTCTATATTAATTTAAATACGAACACACATATAGTTATTATGACATTTCTTGACTTTATGAACATAAGTATAATTGTAAAAAATATTTGATTGTTTTGCTTTGAGCTCTTCCTATTAATTCTACACCATTTTATTAACAGTATCCACAGAGAGATCCAAACCAATCAATACATTTGTCAACTAGAGAAAAATAATTATATCATCCATTATTCTTACCAGTATCCTCATCATTGATGTTTTGAAGACAGATATGTTCTTCTCCCTTCCTCAGATAAACGGTAATCTTTAAATAGAATGTCATCTCTAATTCTTATTCCTTTATTTTTTGATTCCAAGGTAAAAGATAACCTTCTTTGATGTTAATGCCAGGAATTATAATTTTAATACCAGTCATGATGGAAATTTTAAATATTGTCAAATCCCACATGCAACTAAAGATGGTAGGAGAACACTCGGGTCAAAACAAAGAGATTCACATTAATAATGATGAATTTAAGAGGATGACAGAAGAATGAAATAAAATATCTTCGTTTTTAACCCTTTCGCAAACTAAGAAAGATGTATTCCTCATCATTAATTGAGGACTGTATCATTAGTAGTAGTAGTAGTAGTAGTTGGATGAGGTGGAAGAGGAGGAAGTGTTGAAATGCTCCTGGTTCGATCAAATAGTCTTGTGGACAAACAAGAGTAACTTTCAGCACTCTTCCGTATTCAATAAATTTCCCACTTTATCTGTGCAAATTGGTCTAATGGTTAGCAATTTTCTAAGCATCAGGTAGTTAGGTTGGTCTTCAGTTTTGTGGTTTGTTTATTAAACCGCGGGAAAAATTAACCCGGTCGATACAAACAATTTCTCAAGCGTGGACAAGTAAATCGGCGAAACGTGTCCGAATATTAACTGAAATTGCTTGTTTGCTTCCTTGGTCCTCGTGTCTATGCTTAAATCAAAATTTCCCCGTGCTTGGCATTTCTCTTGAATAGCATTGGTCAGTGCAATATCCCATTGTTCAGCTAGCAAAGGGTTACAGATAATTGGGCATAAAGAGAAAAGAGTGTCGACGTAAAACTTAAACAAATATTTACTATATCAATTGTAAACCTTGTACTTAAGATGAAACTTAGAATTGATAATAAAAAATTATATTTAAAAAGTGATAGAATTAATTTCGCGTTACCAAATCTCTTTCTCTTTTTACTGAATTTCAAGTTCGTGTCTCCATTATATGGCAGAGAAAATTTCAAAAAACTTATATCAGTTAAAGCCGCTTAGAATTAAGACCTTTATAAAGGCATGAAACAAGATGTCCTTTCGTTGTTTATCATAACTAACTATCTTGAATTATCTCGTCTCTTGCATACCCTTTAGATTAACAATGAACAGTGTACTTGTACAAACTGAGAAAATAATAGTTGCCTGTGTCAAGGACAACTTTTTTTATTTGTTATATATTTAACAATATAGATAGGGTTGGAGATACTGAATTTCAACGCAACTGATAAAAACAGTCAACTTGAAAAATTGCTGGCTTACGACCATATCACGTTGAGACATGGGTTCCCATAAGATTACAGAAGTTAAGCAACGTCGCGCCTGATCAGTACCCAGATTATTGACTGCTTGGGAATAACAAATGCTGTAAGCTTGGATGTGAATGTGGAATAATGGAAAACGGTTTGGAATTGAAAATCAGGAGTCGATTTTCAATTCCAGCCGGATTCAGTATATTCACTTATGCGTAAATAACCTTGGAAAAGGTATGAATCCACCTGTTCTCCCCCAGCTATGTGTTAATTAGTAAGAACTGTAACAATAAATCACTATTATCTCTAAAACAAAAATTCTTACAATCCAAAAATATTTTCTGACTTTAAATAAGTTGCAAAGGGTTAATATTCCGTAAAAACAAAATCACTCAATCAAAGAATTGCAGCAAAACAATCTTCCAACTTATTCTTTCATTTGTTTTAATTGTTACCGTTCTATACTGTTTAAATATCTACACAAATCTTTATTGTTTTGAGCTTCATACCTACTATGTGCCCCATAATGCTGGCCTTTTGTCAGTCAAACTTCTGATATATGGTTAAACTATTTAAACTATTCTAAAATTCTAAATCAATGTATGTGTCTCGCGATATTTCAACTTTTACGTCTAAATAATAGGGCGAACCTCCTTCTCTTAGCTTTTGTCTATATATAAGATTTTTCTGTGTATGTGTATACATATGCGCATGCGCGCATATATAAAAATATTTTTCTTGATGCTTTAAGGCATTTTAGCGTGTAAGTTTAAATATGTTCACAATTCCACGTATTTATGAACATGTCAAATGTGTTTTTTTTTTCTCAGGTTGCTAATATTCTTTATACGATGGCGTCTTTTTATATATCCTTCTTTCAGCTATACACGTTTGTACACAAACACACATGCATCATACTTACATTAATACATATATACATACATACATGCATATATATATATATATATATATATATATATATATATATATATATATATATATATATATATATATGTATATGTATATATCTTACACAATAATATTTTGATGCAAAAAAGGAGCATCATTGCTATCTTTACTTCTTTCCTGTACATCGAGCGAAGCGGAAACGCCGATCTCCCACCAGTGGACTTTATGATTAATGCTTTCTCTCGAGCGCGCCAAATGATATCATTTGTAAATTTCTACCAGGTCATATGATATGAACAGGTTTTAACACACTTTTTTGCAGTACCAATGTCTCGGCAGCCATCGCTTTTTCTCTTCGTTCTTTCAAAATTTGTATTCCTTACTTTAAAAATTTTGTCTTTTATCGAGTTTTTCTTTTTCCCTTCCCAGTTTTTGATTTTCCTTTTATGTTTTCTTTCAATTCTTTTAGAAATTTCCTTGTTTTTTTTCATCATGTGTTTTCCTCTTCCCATTTTTACTTTATTTAATCTTTAGTTTATTCTCTTTTTTGGCTTTTTGTCTAGTTTTTTTCACTTACTCTTTTATTTTTCCTGATATTATTATTGTTTTCATTTTCTCTTCTCAAAAAAAATTGTTATTTGTTGCCACTTTGATATTTTCCAAGAATTTTTTCTTTTTAAGGATTTTTACTAATTTTTCAAATGTATACTACTTTTTACTTTTTACTCTCAATTTATTTTAATTTGTTTCCATTTATATTTTTAGTCTCCATTATTTTTCATTGTATCTTTTCCTTTCATTCTCATCTTTTTCTTTATTTTACACTTTCGTTTTTTTTTTTTCTTCTTTTTCATTCTCACTCTAAATATTTATTTAGTTTTCGTGATAGTTGACTTCACGTTTTAAATTCTTTTCTTATAAAACTATGTACAACAAGACGGAACATTTTTCCTTATCATATTTTTATAGTACAATGTGACATAATTTTAGGCCTTTTAAATCTTACTTAATTCCTTTTCTAAAATCTTTTCATATTTTTCTCTTTTTATTTGTGCTTCAAAATACGCAATAGTAGTATAGCTAATGAGAGTTGAATTTCATCAAACGTTTTTGCAAAAGAATTATCAACGATTCTAGATTTTTATTAGAACGCTTTAATCAATTTACCCAAATCAAGGCGATAATGTCACTAAGACGCAAGAATCTACTGGAAGTAAAAATAGGACAAGACTTTAGAAAGAACCGGAAATAGAAAACAATGAATAAACCTCTACTCCTATTCGAAATACTAAGAAGCTGTGTCAACCGGACGATAGGCGTACCCATCTACACATATTGAGGAAAAAATAAATAAATAGTATAAATTTCAAAGTTTAAGCGTATACGCTAGAAATATATATTTGACATAGAATTTAAAATTAACAGGAAACCTATTCCCAAACAGGGAACAAAAGATAATCCACTATTCTTGTTCAAAAGTCTGGGGAGGAGTGTGAACAGGTCGATAGGTAAATCTCTCTTCTTATAAGCTCTCAGTTGGTGCACTCGTTTAGTTAAAACTCATAGTCTGTAAGTCCTCGGCAAGGTTAACTTGTCAAAACTTAATGAAATAGGCAAGTACTGTTGGTAAGTTTATTTTACACTGGTACATGGATGTAATAAATCTCTGACATACTTCCACAACAACTGGTTTCTACTGAAATCGGGGATGTTCTTTCCTTTATATTTTTAAGTTTAATTTCTAAATTAGGGCAATTATAAATTAAAAATAATAATAAAAAATATATAACAACATAATATTGATTAAAAAGAGTTTGACTTAAGTTTCATTCTCAACAGAGATCTTGCCAATCGCTGTATATTATGTATTTATTTGTTTAGAAAGCCGAGAATTTTCCCATTTTGACTTAAATGAATAACTTTACTACTTCTCTTTCGTATATCCAACTGCCAACATCATTTTGTAACATTTATTTAGTAAAATATACAATTTTAAAAATTGTTTTTTTTTTTAGATTTACTGCAACGAATTGAACATGAGAAATGTGTAATAACTGAAAAATCTGTTAGTTAACAAGCGACTAGTCTAAAGTATTTCGACACTATACTCTCACCGAATTATCCCATATCCCAAGGGATTTTAAATGAAGAATAATGTTACTTTTGTGTGGACAAGATCTGTCCCCAAAATATTCCGTCAATTAATTTTAACAAAAATACTCTAAGTTAATGACACCTTAGTTCCACACTTACCGCCATCAAATCAATCGTCACATTCTTGTGTATTTTTAAAAGAACTTGTAAAATTTTCTTCAGGGATTGTCATCAGCTGCTTAATTGTGTTCTATTAAATCTGTTTCATTGGTTTTCTATCTAACTGGAAAAAACAGGAAGTTGGTGCCAGATTTGAGGTGAAAGAGTTCTGAACAATCTGTGACATGAGGTTCCGCCGAAGATATCTGTAAGAAACGTGAAGAATTTATTCTAAGACAGGCATTGTGAATTCAAAAGTAACACAGTATATAAGCCAGCGATGGAGTGACTGGTTATGTGTGTGCAGTCGGATTCCATCTTCGATTTCACTATGTAAAATCCGAGCAACCAGTTATTCGACATGGATGGCTAAGTTTTGTAACTTTTTTTAAAAGAAACATATATAGAATTTAGAATATTACCGACATTACACCGAACAAAAGAAAGTCATAATTTCGTCTAAGTTGCCACAAGTCTTAGAACAAGTTTAAAGTAATTAGCAGATTCCTTGTAAAAAAGTTAATTCACTCGGCAAATGTGTAAAAGAAATGCACAATAGCAAGTAGAATTTTCCTGACATGATGTTGTACGCCATCTTTGTGATTGGGACATTTTCTAATTTACTCTTAGTTTGAATGTTTATTATATTTCGGCCCCCAAAACTCAATTTTCATTTCTGACAGCAAATGACCTCTCATAAACTTGAAACTTAATATCAACTTCCGGATTTTTGACCTCCGATTTACTTCAGCATTTTTGATCTACTTAATAATACGTCAAATAATCTCTTAAGATTTTATTGATCCTATTGAACACATATTTTATTGATCCTATTAAATACATATTTAACTATGATTAGTTTGGTACAAGGCTACAATTGTGATTTGTGATAGAAGTTGATGACAAGAATCAAAGAATTCCAGAAACAAAATATACAAAATGCTTGATTCTTGAATATATTCAGAGGCAATGAATTAGTCAAAATATTCGTCTTGTTCTGGAATTTAGCGTCATCTCGTATTAACTCTAAGTTCAAATAATCATTGGCTTTTAATGTAGCACGTTTATAAAAATAAAAATCTAAATTTTTTATGCCAATATTGAAAATTGGAAAAGATGCTTCTTTATTTGAACAAGGGTGAAAAAGCAAATCAGAATTACAAATGATTTTTGAAGTTTTGGTTATATAGAAACATGCTTAGAATACCTTGAACGAAAAATGTGAGTAATAACTCAACTTTAAAGAAAATAGAAAGAAAAAGAACACTTATACATAACTCCAAGACAAAAAATACATAACGAGGGAAGAGGGCTTGGAAAATCTGATATTCACAGGGCATATTGACGACAAGAGGGACAGAGGAAAGTGAGCTTGAGTAAATGGACGTCGGAAGAAGATTTAGGAGAGATCACAAAAAGAAAAAATGTTGAGAGATACAAAGAGTAGGAAATTGTGGAGAGCCATGATCGACAGCTTGAATGGATATAGAAGATGATGCTGGTTACGAAATAGGTTCTGAGAATGATCGAACGTTTCAAAAATTGGTTTATGAAAATGTGTGCTTTTTTTTGATGAATGATGTTTCGTGTTCGGTAAGATCAATTGAATTGAGAATAATCAAATGAAGACAGACATGGTGAATATATCAGTGTTATACGACGCAGAAGATAAGAAACATGTTCGAAATATCAAAATTGAACTTTGAATATAATTTACTCCGGCGTGTTTCTGTTACTCGTTTTAACTTTGATATTTGCCAAGGAATTCACCGAAAAAAGATTCTCCTGTAACTTGTTTCTATGGGGCAGGTGTTAACAACTATTCTATTGATATAATGCATGACATTGTGAATAAGCAGAACACAATTACACATGCCAAAGACTTCTCTTCATCCAACGAAGGTAATATTGCCTATTTGATGGAATTTGAAAAAGGACCTCTACTATGAGATCTTCCC